ATAAACGAATCCCACAGCCTGTTGTATGAGTTGATACGTTTGACATGTCTCATATGTCTGAGTTTGTTTAACTGGCGTGAGCCGATGTTAAGGAGAAAAAAAAGAAAAGCAAAGAACATTTAGTTCATTCGTCTGTGAAATTCCTGTGTGTTAATATTATCATCTGCAGGGAGTCGAGAGGAAGATAGAGAATTTAAGGACAATCTGGGGTCTGGAGACCGAGCACAGCTTGATAGAAATATGGCAGGAACACCAGTGTCTGTTCGACATGTCCAGTTCTCAGTCTCAGGGGTTCGAAAATGTTCCTGTTTGTTTACCACACCCAATTCTTTTTGTGGTTGTTGATTGTCATCGACATCTTGAGCAAGTCATTTTGGCTACGATGGAGGGATTCAAAGTAATATTTTGATTAAATGTGAAGAATCTTTATCTAAATCTTAATGAAACCCACATAAATGGTTTTATTTTTTTTGAAAAGATGGTTGTTTACTCTGATAGGACTGATCTGGAAAAAGTAGTACTCACTGCCTCCACTTCAGTCGGATCGTACCACACGTTGATGTACGGGTGCTGGAGAGCCTCGTCCACTGAGATCCGTTTTGATGCATCGATTACCAGCATCTTGGATAATAGATCTCTGGCTTGGCTCGCTGAAAAGACAAATGAGGCAAAAAATAATAAAAATAAAGGTAACAAATCAACAAATCCAATATTCACTCTGCAATTTGTTCCAGCTGGGAGAATGTGGCTTCATAAATGTGACACATTTCCTGTTGAAACAGGATGTCGGAGCAGGGAACTGTTCAGAGCAACTGACTCAGACATTTGCGTTCTCACACGCAGCCCCTCTGAAAATGTCCAGATTTAAGTATAAGAGGTTCATAACTCCAGACTGCCTCTACAAGTCTCATCTTTTCAGCATGAAAAATCCAGTCGAAAGTATAAAGGGAGGTTTTGGTTTGTCAAGAACATCCACCTGAGTTCTCTTCTTGAAAAAGAGTTTTTTTGGATAGTTTCCTAAATCTAGTCGAGTGTTAAAAAAGAGGATGTTCCACCTTGTACAGATTGTTAAGCCCCATTAGGCAAATCATGATCTCCCTGATTGTCACATTCTGTATGAAAGCCCTGCCAGCTCCAACACATAGTTTAGCCAGTGTACTTCATCCTCCTGCCTGTGCAAATTAGGGAGGACAGAAAAAGGATGAGCTACTTTGTTCCTGCGACATCTTGCCACAGCTCGGTAGGAGCTCGCTGTGAGTGTTCCTGTCATCTTCCCTCCACTTATATATTAAGACACGCTCGAGGTAAATTCTCTCTTCACAGTAAACAACTTGGTCCTGAACTGTCAGATTTCCTAATGAGTGCTTAATCGAACGCAGCCACTGAAAATTCATCTGTCACTTCGTTGTGAGCATATGTTTGTCACACATGATACAACACAAGTGGATAATATATGGAGAAAAAGTTTCTATTTCTGCTTTGTAAGTGTTTGGATGCACACACACTTAAGCCACCCTGGACTCATTATATTAATCCTTGAGCTACAAAAGCAGTCATTTGAAAAGTCAGCCATGATAAAGAGCCAGCTTTAAAACAGTCTTTGGGACAAAAGCAGTTAAATAGAAGTGTAGTGTGGGATTAAACTTGTGGCTGTAAAACATTGATTGCCTCATTATTTCTGCCACTTTCTCATATGCGATAAAAGCTATTTGAATTTTCTAAATGGTCGCCTGCAGGTCGGACAATCAGTCAAACAACCTAAATAGTTTTGACTCTTAAGAGGAAATGCATTTACAAACCTCCAAACAAATGTATTGTGCTTCAGCAAGCCTTTACAAGACTATTTATATTCCACAATGTTTAGAGAAATGACCCCGTCTTTACCTTTGAGTTTGTTGTGTTCAGAGTCTGCAGGAAACAGGACGTCAGGGAAGAGCTTCTCGAAGCTGTAGCCGGCGTACCGTGGCCGGTTCTCCACGTAAGTCCTCACAGACTGGTTGAGTTTCATCAAGAACTCCTGAGATGGCGTCCCGAGCTGCTCGATGACCTTGTTCCACTGGTCGATATCTTGCAGTAAAAGTGTTAAGAAAAGCCCTCGACTGGGTTTGGAGTTGTTCTGGGTTGTTTTGAGGAATATTTGAAACGGATGAAGATTTAAAGACACCTGTCTGGGATTGCTATGTGTTGTACTGCATTGTTCTGACTGCTCCTAAGAGACTTCTGTACGTTTGCTGAAAAAGAAAATCTGTCAAATCTGTTACTTGGCACAAGGTGTAGAAAAGGCACAGAAGACAGTAACCTCTGATGGATTAAGATTATAGACCATCTTTTATAGATAGTCTGGGGACACAGATTCAAATCGAATTTAAACCTGTGGAAAATGGACTGTGTGGGACACATACACTATGAACTGTGTTGCAAAAATCTTTTCAAACATCTGTACTACACAATACTGCATGTTAGAGGAGGCAGTTGATCTTTACCTTAAATAGCCCAGATGCTGGAAAAATGCATGTGCAACTTTTTTTCTCTGGAGGATAATAACATACATAACACAGATGTAACATGTATAGATCTACTGTACATGGAGGACACGCAGAGACTCTTGTTCACATCTTTGTTCATTGTTGACAATTAATGAGCAAGAAGGAGATACATAGCCTAACACTCAACATTATGTTAGCTACTCCAAGCATTGCTGACAGCAGACGGTTCATTTTTCAGATAAGTTTGGTTTTATTTACTTACTATCGCCACCAATGAGGTTATATTTTCACTTTGTTGATTCCTAAACTACAAGACAGTTCACCATGAAACTTGGTAGAAAGATGCAGTATGGGTCAGGGAAAAACCTATTGAATATTGGTGCTGGTCCAAATAAGTGGGTGCTTCCACACAGCTATACAATGCAGCAACAGTGCAAACACCAAGTTGGTGATCTTGTTGGTGTTATTATGAGAAATGTAAAATTGTGAAACTGTGGCAGGACAAATTAGAACATAGTGGGCTGCCACATTCTAGATATAAAAATGGCGAGACATAGCGAGATAGGGCATTAGCAGAGGTGTGCGCTTTCAGAGTGCCCCTCTATTTCAATGCAATAAAAATGGGGTGAATAGTCGTGATTGACAGCTGAGACTGACTCTCCATTGGTCGAGCACATGGTAATAATATAACATGTGCGTCTTTCCAACCTCAGTGTCTGCGCTCAGTCACTAACCACTGCACCCGAAAAATATTTCACTGTCCTATCCACTTCTTCTCACTAGCTAATCATCACTGGAGAGTAAAAACAGTGTGAAGTGTATGAAGACTACTACAATAAATATTCTTAGTTCTATCTTTTTGTTGAAAACATAAAATAGATGCTGATTGGGCTAAATTTTGTTACGTATGTTATTGGTGTTATCGGTACACATGCTCCTAAATATATTTCACAAGCCACATTAGGGGCAAAGGTTGGACGGTGAATCCCTGAAAGAGTCACAATTTCTGCCATGAATAAGAAGACATTTCCTCACTCTGCTCACTTAAAGAACGGAAACTAATGCTGACACTAAAGAAGATTACATCATTGTTGATTAAACGGCAACAGTAGCTTGAAAAAATGTCTCTCAAAGATATGAACAAGGTGTCAGACAAAGGACGGGACATGACTTTTGGGGGTTTGATGAAGGTTCAACTCAAGGATACGATCAGTGCCAGGAAACAACACACTACCCCGGACCATTTCAGCCATGATGCAGCCAACAGACCAGACATCAACTGAAAAATGAAATGACAACCACCGAATTAGCATGCAGGACTGAAAAACACACAAAAACACAAATCAAATGAACAAAAGGGGAAAAAAAACAAAATATGATGTACATGCCAGGTGATGTGTGATACGGTGCAAAAATGAATGGCATGCAGTTGAGTGCACTCTCAAACCTGAGTCAGCGTCCCACAAAGCTAAGGAAAATTATTACTACTGTTATTCTTTTTGGCCAGAAATAACTGCATTTACTGCATATTTCTGTAGAATCAGCAATAATATTATCCAAATATCAAATGTGAAGAATTAGTTTAGAAAAGAGAGACTTGCAATGTCTTCTGAAAATGTTTTTACACACACACACACACAAGTCTCATAAATATTTGACAGCAAGTCATTCTGGATAAAAACTTCTTAATCTTTTTGTGCGACTGATGAAAACAGTTTGAGGATTTTTGCAGATCAATTCTCTGCTAAAGAAGTATTCACTAATAACCTTGGGTTTATTTTGGGTGTTTTTTTAATTAAGGGAGCTTGACGCTAAGGTGAGAAAGGAGGGAGGCAGGTGGGTGGATGCAAAGACGAGGTTGTCATGCAAATGCGAGAAATTGAATTTCTACAGTTGCTCACAGATTATGATTTCCGTGCAATCTCCATTTGATGAAAAATAATAATTTGAAGAGACTTTTTTGTGCCGTTTGTTTCACAAGGAATGCCAGACACTGCTGCAAGCAGCTCAAGGATACAATCCCTCCCTGGAAAAAGGATTTTGTGGCGAACCATTTCTGCCATTATGCAGCCCACAGCCCAAATATCCACTACATATGCGCAGCATAAAAGGAGGGAGAAGAGAATAAGCAAAAAAAAGGCAACAAGTCAGCAGGAAAAGTTAGTTTTTTGGCCAAAAGGACAAAAGATGAGAAAGCATAATTAAATAAAAAAGTTTTGTTTGAACAGAGCATCATCGTTTTTTTTAAAATCGACCTCATGAAGGGAAGATTAGCGTATGGACTGTTATGGATCTGAATTTATGAGATATAGTCAAATATTTGCTAAGCTAATGGCACTACAGTTTCCATCAATAAGAACTGTTAGCTTCATAATCAAGATTGAAATGGGTGTCTTGATACCACTCTCATGTCTGAACATTAAATAAAAATCTACAGCCAGGAACTGGTTAGCTTAGCTTAAAGACTACAAACTGTGAGGAACAGCAAGCAAAGCTACCCATTGTTATGCTAAACTAAGCTAACGATATCCTGTTCTAACACTCAGATATGAGAATGGTATCAATCTCCCCATACAACAGTGAATAAGCATTTTTCCCCAAATGCTGAAATATTCCTTAAAGACAATCTTTCATTAACTATAATCCGTTCAAAGCAGGAACGCCTCGTGAAACTGCTGAAGCATGTGCATGAATCCACACTGGTGTTTTGTTTTGCTTTTTGTTTTTTTATAGCCAGGCTGTATCGAACTCAGGACAGGCAACCTCTTAATAAAACATCAGACGCATGCTAATGCACTGCTGGAGCCTCCTGAGAAGACATTTCCCACAAAGCACTGATGCCCGTCATGCCAGCCTCCCCCAAGTGTGACCTTTACAGGAACAGGGAGTGTGAGAGTGAGAGTGTGTGTGTGAGAGTGAGAGTGTGTGTGTGAGAGAGTGTGTGTGTGTGTGTGTGAGGTGCCGCTGAAACATCTCAAAAGGGGAGGGACATGCAGCAGGCCAGGCAGCAGCTCATCATTGGCCAGTCGCTGTCATGAAGCCACTTCCTCCACTCACCATTGGCCTGGTAGCCCATGCCCAGGATGACTTCAGGAGCACGGTAGTAGCGGGTGACCACGTAGGGCGTCATGAGGAGGCCCGTGGCGGCTGTTCTGGCCAGGCCAAAGTCCAGGATCTTGAGAGTACAGTCAGACTTCACCACAATGTTACTGGGCTTCAAGTCCTGGACAAAAAAAACAAACCTGGTTTAGATGAAATGTATTTTTATTTCTTTTTTGTAACAAATGCATACATTGCCTTTTATTAAACATGGTTTGACAGAGTTTCACACTTTTATTGGTCCTTTTTATGCTAGATCCAACTTTTTATTTAATTTTACATAGCTCTACCCTGACTTCTGTGTTTTGACATAAATTCATTTTCTGCACTGAGGAGACTGACGATGACTATCAAACAATCGACCGTGGGATTGATCACATAAAGAAACATATTATGGTGAGAGTGATTTGCACTTGTGAGCATCTTAAAGAGACTAAGGAGGTTTCATCACAGAGACAAAGTCCACAAAAACCAGAGAGCTAAATCTTTGGTGACAATGACTCATGTTGCATCTGTTCACCTTATGAAAGCTTTGCGTGCCAAGCAGTGCCAAATAGAGGGAGGCTGGTTAGCTCCGCCTGTAGCTCAATTAGTTCTGGTTGGCAGAGCAGGAAGAGCTCCACTGATCTACTGCTGCTTCTTCCACAGAGGGTGATTGACAGAGTGCCGCCAGTGCGTGCATTAGAGTGTGAGAGTGTGTGTGTGTGTGTGTGAGTGCAATATATGTTGTTCCTAGCTTCTGAGGATTTTATGCTTTTCTTTGACACACATGATGGTTGTTTAAGTTGTTGGTTGAAAAAAAGAAGACGTGAGGATAAGACCTTGGGAAATCATAATCTTTAATCAAAAACCTTTAGTCACCACCCTAATTAAAAGTCCCCTTAGTTAAATCATTAAAGAAAAGTAAAAATGAGAGGTGGTGGTTTTATGGTGTGATGGGTCTGACTTCAAATCAGATCTTGTCATCTAATCAAATAAGTTTATTTCCCAGAAATGTTGAACTATACCTTTAACATCAAACTTTTACCTTTTGAATACTGTATATGTTCATTTACATATACATTATAAGCTGCTGAGTCAACTTTTACTGACATCTAGAACATTTTTTGGATAACAGTTGCCAGAGGCTACAGCCTCCAGTGCAGCAAAGTTTAAAACTATTTTCACCTCCTACTGGTTTGATCTTGCAAATGTGTGGCCTAATATCTTTAGTTGATCCAGACCAACTGTCTTGTGGGTGGACTATATGCAGAAATATATGCACACAAGAATGCATGCAGTACGCTCTTAAGTGCAACACAGACCAAGTGCGCCGAAGAGCAGGAACCATGTCAAGGTGTGAGAGTGAGACAACGAGTGCTGCACTCCATTTTCAGGCTAACGCCCAGTACTATCAGTTATGCAACGAGTCAATGGTAAACCACTGCAGTTCTGTATATCAGTGAGCCTCACCCTGTGTATGATGCCCGCGGCATGTAGGTGTTTGATTCCACACAACATCTGGTAAAGCAGGTAGGACAGCCTCTCGTGGTCCAGCTCCATCTGAATCACCTGGCAGAGGTTGGCGTCCATCAGCTCCATCACCAGATACCTGCAGGGAAACCACAGAAGGTGAAACATGTAGGCTGATATGCATTACTCACACAGAGGTTCATATAGACAGAAGACTTACAGGTTGGCTTAGCAACAATTATTTTGCATTGGCTAGTAATTAGACACATGGAATGTGACATATTGTTATGACTTGTGTCAGTGTAATACTACTGACATAAACAATTCCAGATCAAAGTGGGTTGTGGTTATATATAGAACCACACTTGAAAATGTACTATGTTAACTCCATGCAGGAAAAAAAGTACAACTCCATGTTGGACTGTCAGTTCAGTTTAACCCACACAGCACTTGCTTTGCATGGCATTTAGAAAGTGACATTGAGGGTTCTTCTTCTCTAAACAGTGCTGATGTTATCTGGCAGCTGTTACATCATCACTCCTACATCGAGAAAGGAGATTGTGACTGAATCATTTCATCAAGTTATTTATATATATAATAAAAAGCCAACACAGCTTGGTGTCACAGTGTGCAGGTTACAATGTAAAAATTTGTGAAGGGACTGAAGAAGGACTGAAGAAGGGTAAAACACAATATCAAACATCGTTATGGTTAAAATTTGAGGGTAAAATACTAATTTATACACTATTAGATGAATTTGTTTTTTATTAGTGCACCGTCACACACCATGTAATTCAAGTATGCATCCAAGTATACAAACACAAATGGAGTGTTTTCCTTCATCCTCCAAATGTGTGTTTGCCCTGCAGCCCACAGGCAATGATTTGTCCAGTTTCCTTTTTAGCTCCAATCAAGCAGACACAGCACTGACGGCACGCACTGCAGACACACGCACAAATACGCACACACACACACACACACACACACACACACACACACACACACACACACACACACCCCCTCTTCGAGAGGATGGCATTAATCATATTTGTTCCCGTCATACTATGTGAAACCATCACTTCCCCCACATTTGGGCCTCCTATTCCCCTCTCTGCGATTCAAAAGCCAGTTTACGTTCCCATGGACGTCTGACTTTGCAATACATCCAGGACACTGCTAAATATACCTTGATGATGCTCTTAATAAAGCTGTGGATTACAGAATTTGTGAATGTGTGCTGCATTCAGAGAGATTACGGGAATCAACACAGCAACAGGACCAAAGAGTTAGTTGTTCGTTTGTTTCATGAGACCCAACCTTGATATTAAGTATGATAATTTACTGTCTTTTTTAAAACAATCTACCTCACAATGAAGTTAGTGAATTTTGTTTTAAAGTCACTTTCTGTGATGCAGTGTTAAAACAATATACTGTATGTATTTCTTAAAATACATCTCTGACATACAGCATTATATATTTGGAGTAAGGCAAGATAACACAGAATCTCAGCAGAGATTCGGCTAAACTGCACAACCCCCCCTAAAAGTCATAGAAGGTGGTCTAAGCCCCCAGCATGCCACATCCTGTATTGATTTTACCAACATGCAGTGAGCAGATGTTTTTGGGCTCAGGTATACTCACACATCTTGGAATTCTTCCAGTGTCTTCTGTGGTGTGAATACGTTTAATAAGCCGATAATCTGCAGAAACAAATGCACAAAGTCATTTCTGTTCCGGTCAAGTGGAGAGACAAAGAGGTTGTAATGAACGACAATATCGCTGCCTCTGCATCCCTGAACTCGAAGGGCCAAGTGGATTTTAGACAGGGTTCAGGCTGCAGCAGCACAAGCATCAATAATGAATAATAACAGGACATTCTCTGCTTCATAGCACCACTTAAAAAGAACATGACACAGCAGAGAAGCATTGTGGTAATCCTCAGGATTGCTGGTTTAAAGAACTGCCAATCAAACACAGTGGGCAGATTTTTGGATCACTAATGATTGAATAAAGCCTGTGAGATATGTTATTTTTCGAATCTTTATTCAAGAGCACGGTCTTTCAGATGAGAGCTGAAATTAATTGATTTCATGTTCAGATTTTGTAATGCTCCCACTCAAGACCCTGCTTGTGGGAAAATGTAATTTGTCAACATTCCACCTGGCATTCTGTTGGTTGGGGAATTTTGACAGACTTGCTGAACAAAAAAAAAACAAGCACAGACGAGAAATGAGTGCTGAAGCCAGAGCGCAGGAAATCTGAGTGCAAACATACAGTACATCCTCTCTTAAAGGTTCCGTGTGTAGAATTAAGTGACATCTAGAGGTGAAGCTGCATGTTGCAGCTGAATACCCCTCATTTCACCGTCCCCTTCCAAACATGAAAGGGAACCTGTGGCGAACCTTAGTTGTCATTAAAACACATGGCAGCCTCCACAGAGAGGACCCCCCTCCATGTAGATATAAAGATTTAAATATAAAGGGTCCATTCTATGGTAAAGAACAACAATTAATATAATTTAGATGAAACACACCAGTGAAAATATCACTAGGATTATTTTTATTAAATTTCTGCCAAAATCCCTTTCATCTAAATCTTACACACTAAACCTTTTAAAACCCATAGTGAGACATTCAAGGTGTCACAGCTGCAAATATACAACCCCGATACAATATTAACGTATGAGAAAAATGCAAAGAGGACAGAAAAGTTGAGCTCTTACATTCTTGTGGTTGACACATTTCATGAGCACCAGTTCTCTGTAGGCCCGCTTGGCATGGGTTTGATTCTGAAAGGGCCGACTCAGCTTCTTAATTGCGACGTTCCTCTCCAAGTTGTGATCGTACGCTGAACTGTTGGGAGGGAGGGGGCAACAACTCAGTCAACAATTTCAACAACACTTCTCTTAAGACCCCAGATAGCTTTTTCACACTCATGATTTGAACACGGATCATTTAACCATTTTTACTCTCAGATCCTCAGATGCTGTTATTTGTCCTTTATGAGTTGCAGAGTAAAACAATTTGAAGTCCTTCACATGTTGAAAAAAACACATGCAGACTTTGTTTTGTGCTGGGCTGGTGGCCTAAAGTCAGTTTTCAGAAGTGTTTTTCTGAAAACAGTTGTGGTCAAATGATCAAGGGTTCATGTTTGTATATTTTGTCCACCTCGTCAACATACAAGGGGGAGTCTGTTAGAATATCAGTCTATCTGTCTTTCTAGAGTATCTAGGTAGGTGTCTGTCTGTGTCTATATGTCAACGGTATCTGTCAACCTGTTTGTATTTGTCTCTCAATAGTGTCTATCTATTCATCTATCAATTCATCTATAGCAGTGGTCACCAATCTTTTTAATTCTAAATGTAAGCTGAGATCTACCACCCTGAAATCTTCCAAAAAAACAACTTAGGGAGGGTCATATTTATTATTTATGCACTTTCTGTTAAAGGCTAAATGTACGAGCATAAATATACACAAAGAAAGGCAGTTATGCAACTTCATCTATTCAATGCATAATATTCACATTAATATCAATTCATATTTATAACATCTGTTCAATGCAAAATATTTAGCGTCTCAGTTCAACAATATGTTCTGCAGAGGAGCTGCTACTACTGACCAATGTTTTTACATATAGGCTTTGCCTTGAATATGGCCATAAATATGACTATTGTCTTGTATAAAAGTAGTCCTGTGTACTCAAATAAATAGCAGAAGTATACATTAAGAAGCCGTGCATCTTCCGCTCCTGCAAATATTTCTCAATAAAAATAACTTTTTTTTAACAAAAGATTGGATTCGGTCAACAGAAACGTTTGAGTGCTTTTATTTTGAAACACATACAGAAAGTGTTGCAACCATTTATGTTTGTGACATACATTAAAGAGATAAACATTAAAACTCAGCTGAAAGATCATTTTCTCTGTTTATTCTGTTGTGAGCCACAATGTTTATCTGTCTATGTCTTCAAAGTAGAAGCACTTCAGCTTTTCACTTTCGGAATCCATTCATTTGTTCTCTGTGCTTTGATTGTTATTGCAAGACCTGAACGAGCAGGACTTCATACCGCAGCGTCCTGACATTCAGTCTAGTACATAACCCGACTCGTATTCAAGGGAATGCAGTAGATCCACTAGCAGCTCTGCCTCCAGTATCTGACACATTGTCAGTGTGAACAACAGATAACTGACGCACAGCTGATCTGTGTGCAACCACAGCAGGTGAGTTCAGAGAGTTACAGGGATCGACAGTGAAGACTGATGAGATCGACCAGTCGACCGCGAATGATGGGTTGGCGACCACTGATCTATAGTATCTAGCTGTCTGTCTGTACAAGTACTCTTTTTTTTCCTCTACAAAGTCTGACCTGAAATTAATATATAAACATCTTACAATATGATGCAGTTCAAACCTGTGAATATAATGGAAGCTGCTGCTTTAGATGTAACGAAGCACTTATCACGATAAGGCTGAAATAACACTGTACAGGGTTTTCTATTCTTGTAGTCTTCTTGTTTCTGCTATAAGACAGCTGGACATTCAGCTATCGTATACGACTGAACTGGGAATAATTTGTAGTAAAATAATTCGACAAAAATCTTTGTGAGAATTCTGCACAAAGCAATGTAATGTAAGAGAAGCTCTCTAGATGTTGACATTTAAACACCAGCAATTCCTCACATAACAAATTGTCTAACCTAATGCTCGTATGCATCTGTATCGTGTTCCTCCTACCTGGTACGATGACCAGAGAAGGTTAACGACAGTAGAGAATTTGGATGAGTTCATCCTTCTTTAGCTTAAGTTAGCAATACTACAGCTGCCTTATTCTGGATTTGCTCCTTGAGAAGTTCATTATAATTCTTTCTTTCTACGAGGAACATTTGATTCTTACGTTTGAGGAAAAACTGTCACTTAAAATTTGAAAAAAGTGTCGTTTTTTTCTCCAAGTTTTCTAACTTAAAGCTCCGTCTCAAAATTCAGAGTAAACATATAGGAAGGAAACTACAAAAAATTACCTGACCACATGATCTCAACTCAACGTCTACTCACTAGCTTTAGTCAGGGCTTTCTCCCACATCTAGTGGTGATCAGGAGCAGGTGACCTTACATCTCCATTGCAACTGAGCAAACTCAACTAAAAATACAAACTAAAAGGCCGCAAGTGGAACTTGATTTGGTGCTTTGACTCACCACACGATTCCCTGTGCTCCAGATCCAATGGGTCTGAGGTTCTGGTAGCGCTTTAAAACCATGAATGTTGAATCGCCCACATCTATACTGTAGTACTCCTTTTCACGCTTGTTCCGGTTCATTGTGAAGCCTTGGACAAACACTGTGACTGGGCATCCAAGTGGAGCTCTCCTCTCGCGACCTGCAGAGTAAGAGACGGAGAAGTTAGTCTTTTATGCGTCACCCGTTTAACCTTTTTTTTTTTTTTTTTTTTCATGCAGCAACCGAAACAACAACCAGAATGAACTAAAAGTGTTTTCAAACATGAACACATTTGCGGCAGATAGTCACAACAACAGGAACATTTCTGGAATGTTTAGGCGAGATGTGGCGCCTGGGTAGAATATGGGGCAGGACATGATGACGCATAAATTCCACATAGAAACAAAGTTTATTTTTGTTTACAGCACATTGAAACAAGCTTTGGTTTTTATTCTCAAATGCTTTTTAATCTATGATTCTTGTGTTCTTCCAGTTTCATGTGTCGCCTGTTAGGAAGGTCATCTTTACATTAAATTGCTCGCTATGGATTTCCCTGAAATGTTCCTGCTCCTCTCTCATGCATCAGGAAACGTTTTTGGAGATGTCCAGAGCAACTGACTTGGACATTTGCGTTCTCGCAGGCAGCCTGTCTGCATGTCTGAAAACAGCTTTAGATGCAGGAGTTTCAAAACATACTTGAGAAATCATTGAGAGGTGACTCATTTACTGTGATATTGAGCTAATTTCCAGAGAACAGAACAAAAAAGTAACAACAACAAAAAAGGGCATATTCATTAAATATTAACTGAAATAAAAGCAGGTGTGATAAATTATTATTTTGATTTTTAAAATAGTATAGAAAAGTTGACTTGGTTCTATCAGACAATAACCGATTTTAAGAATAAAACAAATATATTCTGGCTATCTCAAACCTCACGTCTGTCTGTCAAACCTATTCCACACTACAGGATGTCTGCCACAGCTTTTTACTGCAAACATCACTGCAATCAGTTACTGGGAAAAAACCCCATAAGGTTACTATTATCTGGCTAACTCATGTAATTAATGTTTAATAATGTTATCCATTTTGCCTAAAACGGAAACATGCTTAATTCTATTCTTTGTCAAAGCTAATTTGTGTTATATTATATCTCATCTCACTGCTTCTTTCATCATCAATCACAGCCGTGACTCATCTCTAAAGCATTTCATGAATCAGCAACTTTAACCAGCCATGATTCTTAGAGTTCTACTGAGTAATGAGGCTCTGGAATGCATCATATAGCCCAGAGGAGATGTGCACACTGTATATATAAAGCCCAAAGGTCAGAGCCATGGAGCGAGGATTCAGGCTGAGAGAGGAACTGAGAGGAAGAAGGATGCTGGGTTTCATGCTGGATATAAAGAGGACGAAATCATTACTGGAATTTGGATCATTGTGGTGATGATGGCTGCAAGTTCCACAGACCATGACCTATCCTATGGACGTCTCTGAACACTGCCAGCCCACCCCAACCTTTCAGAAGTAGTCACTCTCAACCTCCTCTCCTCCTAACAGGGCTGTGGTCAAACCAACATGAGCTAATTTTGATTCAGTTCAGAGACCAGGTCCAGCTGGTTTCAGACCAGAAGAGAGTACAATTTAAAAATCTAAGTTAAAGATCACTAAACTCTGTTTGCTCTGCTATGAGCTAGGTTTGTTTTCAGATGCACAGGAAAAATAAAAATCTTTATGTTGGGCTCAATTACAGCAGTGGTGCCACCTCATCTGTCTTCCTTTCTCCTGCCTCCTCCGCTCCATCCTTCCTACTTCTCATTATTGTCTCCTCTACTTTCTCCTGCCCTCTTCTCTTGGAGGGGCTGTATGTGTGAACGCAAATGTCTTAGTGAGAGCCTCTGGACTTTCTGTGGACCGCAGAAAGTCCAGAGGCTCTCGCTGGGACATTTGCGTGACGAGCTGATGTGAGAACACAGTAGGGAATCCTCTACAGGATTCACCACAAGCGAGAGGGCGTGTTGAAGATGTTTCTAACTCACAAAATTTACAAAAAAAACAAAGAAAGCAAATATCTCAGGATAAAAAACTGGTGCACATAGACACCATAAAGATGTCAAGAAAGTTTTTGGTGATATGGGCCAACGCCAGCGTCGATGGGCTGTAAACAAAACGTGATCTACAGCAGAATTAATATGCTACATTCTGGCTCTGCCTGCTGCACCCTCCCTGGCCTGATTGCTCCAGAGATTTATGTTCTGTTGTTAATGAGCAAAAAAACCTCCTGCTCCGTTGTTCAAGTGTTAAAGGCACCCTCCAGAGAAAGTCCCAATTCTCCCGACGTCCTCCAGGGTTGTGTCTGAAAACAGTTTTGGACCATAGGGCCATGGCGGATGTATGCACTTTACTGAGTGCCAATTATGGTTAAGTAATGTTATTACAAGCATCACGTTTTTGTCGTTTGCGATTCAACTTCAAATCATAGTTAACTTTTTTCATCTAAACGCAGACTATTAAAAACCACCACCTGCTGTGGTTTGATTATCATGTCACAGAGATCAAACCTCATACCTGCCACTTCATATGTCACCTACGCAGCACTGCCTTGAGTGCAAGTACAAAATAAACAACAACAATAAAATCAGCCACAGACTCCTCCTTAACTAAGCTGTGATGCTATAGTTGCCTGGTTTAATCAGATAAAGGCAGAGAGCAACAATAGATCTTATTGGTCATTTAGACCACACAAAGCAAAGTCTTGTCATGCTGTTACAAAACTGTAGCAGAATTTATTTGCAAGATTATGTTTGCTAAAAGAACCTTGATACATAATATTCTCATGTTCCTGAATCTCCACAATTAGTCTGATGTTGCATCCCCATGCAGGTCTATAAACACCCATCAGCAAAGAAATGAGGAATAACTTTTGAGCACCGCTAACATGCTTTTCAGAAAATGACACTTGGTAAATCAAATATAGGCCACACGGGAGGAGAGTGTGTGTAATCACGGCATACCAAGTACATTCATGTCTATCTCCAATATGTCTAAACTAATGTTAAGCTTCAACTCCATGTTCTCTCCCATTTGAGTACAAAGCTGTAAATCAGGGTTGCTGTGAGGCAGGAGGAAGAAGAAACAGGGCTGAGCAGCATGACAGAATATGTCAACCCAATTGAGCTGTTGGGAGGCAGAGAACTCTCCATCACGCCATGTTATACAGGCAGAGCTGCACACAAACAAATGACTGGATGTGTGAAAGCTGTGTTATATTTGGCTTCACTATTGGGTAACAGTCATGTCATCCATCTTTATTTAGAGTCTATGGTTTGTACATATAACTACAGCAACACTGCCAGGGGTCAGAGGTCATTCAGCTCTTGGACAGGACAAGACACCAGGATTGACATGACCAGAATGATCTGGATTCATGATCCAACATCATTGAATAATAGCTAAATGAATGTGATTGTCTGTATGAAGTGCGACAGAGATGAGCAGACACGCAGACACGCACACTCACAGACACGCAGACACACGAGAGAAGTTCTTCCCACAGATTATGATGCAACGCAGTGTTATAACTTAACTGTTGCCGAAGACGCAATGCTCTGCTGATCCAGCAACAGGATTTTATAAAGATCCGTTCTACGTGTGAGTGTTAGAAAAGAGCAGAGGCACAGAATCACTTGTTGACCGATGCACCTCATGCAGGGGGGGGGGGGGCTGCCCCCGCTGCTAAAAAGATCCTAGAGGAAGCACTGAGACATGAGCATTTTAAATACAGGTTTAATGTTATGTCACTATTACTAGTAACCTCCTGCTTGCAGCCTTGCACTCAAGTATATAGGTGTGTATGTGAGTGAGTGAGTAAGGGAGTGAGAGAGTGAGTGAAGCCTCTGCGGTTTTCTTGCAGTCACTGAGCTACACCTGATAACTGAAACTCATTATTAACAATGTGCAGAATGTCCAAACTACATAACGTCGATACATGACTGTGAAAGGCTGAAATCATCCTAATATTTGCATATCGAGGTGTCACAGCTGCATCACAGATCGGTACCGTCCTAGTGAATATCGGCTCTGACAATCAGGCAGTAGAAGAAAGATAACTATGTCAGAAGGTGTCAAATGTGTGTTTGTTTTTTTTAACGACTAACGACACATTGGCAGTCCTGTCCAGATTTCCTCTACCCTCTCCCCCACAGCTGTCCATCACACAGTCACTGTTGGGAGCCGATCTGTCTCTCACTGGCTTTTACAGGTCTGCTCTTCTTTCACTCAGAGCACAGCCACTCTGCCATGCAGATTCCTGCTAATATCAAACTGATTTGTATTAACTGGGCAACCACTACGAGTCCACTCGCTTTTTTAGGACAGTTAGATTTTATCAGCAAACCACTCGTATTCAGACAAAGTAATAGCTGCTGATAAAGAGCCCACAAGGGCACATTCTGTGCTTAACATTTGATACCAGTAAAGGCCATAAACCAAGAATCTAGTGATTCTCTGGTGGGATACTCAAGGGCTAGAATCTCAGCTAATCACAGTAGAAGAAAGTTTAAAATGAGAATGTAAATTTTGCTACCTAACATTCATAATACAATTACACCATTGTCGACAGGAGTGTGGTTTTGGCATCAAATTTCAGTGTTCAATCCACCTTGAGAAGCCTTTTCATGTCAAAACGCAAAGTGTCAGGTCAACAATCACATCATCCTTCAAAATTCAATAGGCTTTTGTGGATAAAAGAGCGATTAAGACATGAAGAGATGAGCCATATTTATTGCTAACCCCCATTTGGTCACACAGTGAATGAAACAATCTCAAAAAGGGCCTGGCTATGTTAATGCAGATGTATTTTACAGCTTTGTGAGGTGTAAGCATAACACATATTTGCACAACGATAGAAAATCAACAAATGAAACGTTGCATCTATCAGGATAGATTTTGATCATGATCCAAGGGGGGAAAGATGAGAGAGAGTGATAACTCTTTCTCAGCCACTCTCACCCATGACCATTTGACCTGTGATGTGCTGATTCCTTTGTTTCTAGCCGATCTTGGCTACCACGTTAAACCAGGTCATCCAGTGCGACCTGTAGTGTAGCCTGTTTTTAAATGAATACAATACTTGGATTGGATTCTGGGCACAAAGAGTCATGTAGCCCATTTAAGGTCAGCATGCATGGAGTGAGAAATCAACTGAAACCGAGATAGTGTCAATAAATGAACTTTATTTCATATTCACAACCAGTTGGCGACAAAAATCGATCAATACCAATAAGACTGATATGAACGTGGGTTCATCGTGCTTCAGCCAGGACTCATAATCCCTTCTCCCTGCAGGCCACCTTTCATGTTTGGTGCAGGAATCAGATTTCTTGGTGCTTTTGGCTGACCATTACTGCTCTCTTGGCAGGTTGCTCCGTAAAACATTGCAAGCAAAGCGCAGTGAATTCTGGGAGCTTTATTACCCAAATATGACCAAAGGAACAAGTTAGTTAGTTGGAAATTATGACCGAGACGCACGCATCAGACACACTCACATGAGCCACAACACGTGGTAATCTCTAGCCTAGCCCACCTTTGACCAGACAACTCAGACAGTGGTTAAAATCACTGATGACTTGATGAAATGCAAAACTGATAAAAATAACTTAAATTATAAGAGAGGGACAAATTGTGAGACAGTCTATTAGAGCTTTGCAATAAAACAATATCAGTGATCATTGCAGTTTAATTGTCATCAATAGCAATATAATAAAGTCCAATATATATTGATATAATTCTTATGTATAATGCAGGCACCGTGAGGAGGTGTGACATATAATTGATCCAACTCATATTTGTAAAATATTTTCATGTTCATCAAGTGTTTGTCATGTTCTGCTCATAAACATTAACTCACAAATAAATCAGTCTTTAAATTAAAGAAATAGAGCTCTACAGTGTGGTTCCAGAGGTAAAAACCCCATCCATGGTCTGTATAGAGATTCTGATTAGCCTCAATATTGTAACCATCCGAGGTAGACTTACCACAACGAGATTTTGAAATAATTGTATATGCTCCTGTAGAAGCCACAAGTCTGTATGATATCAGCTGCGTACACTATCCACAATACTTGTGTAATAGCAACAGCTGCGATTGGTGGAGCTCGCTGTTACCATGGAAATGTTTTACCCCAATCGCAAAAATCATATTGGCTACAGTCGGTTCAGCATTGCGTTCAACACAGACAACCACGAATTCCCTCACTGCAGGTTTTTAGAGATGAGGGAAAGAGTCCAAAGGAGTGAAAATCATTTCAATCATTGAAGGAATTATATGCAATGATTTCTGGGATGCGTAGTTCCTTTACAGAATTACAGACAGTCTTCTCGACTAATCTCGTAGCTGATATGAAGAATTCCTGAAACATCAATGAAGAAAGGAAATGAGAAACTTCCTTTTGGAACCAGAAGTGTTGGAAATGTGAGGGGGTCAATGTGTCACTGGGTAATAATGTCACGTTTACTGTGATAACTGTCGATACCCACTGATGTGAACAATTCTACTGTAGTATAGTTTGGGGCATATGGTTCAAACCTATGTCCACCAATGTCCATTTGATTTAACTAGCAAAGACAATCTTGCGTGCACTATTGTGCAACAGCTAAAAGGGATATTCAGCAGGTTGGTGAGACATGAGCATCCATATTCATTTACATGAGAAGCACATAAATATGAGTCTGCAGCCTCGTGTGCAGCCAAACGCTGAAATCCAACCTGATCCGTGTCTCTGCTGAATTCACAGAGATGCTGCTTCAGTAACAACAACCAGCCGTGGTGCGTTTACGGTGCAGAAATTATGTGAACTCACCTCCCAGGCTAGCTACAGTACAGTAAACAGACGCTAGCTTAAAAACAACATGGTGCATTCAGGGTGGTTTCTGTTTACATGCACTTCGGGTGAACACAGATTGAGGTTCAGGTAGGTTGAACCGTAGCCCGGTGGGGGTGACCGGTAACCCCCGGTCCACGGTTGACAGTGTAACGCGGTGCTAATGCGGGTGGCACACGGGGTAACAGCGGTGAGCTTCCCCCCGGTGTAGCCGCTCGCGTTAGGCCGGGGACCTGTGCAGCCCCGTGTGCGGCAACAGCAACACCTCTCCCCGGTGACGTGTGTGGTCGCGAATGTGTGTGCTCCCACCCAGCGAAGGTTAACGACACTAAAACACGTCCCGTGGCGAAAGACTGGAGGGAAAAAAAACCCAAGTGGAGCTCACCCCTCTCCGGTTGATTCCACCAGCGTCGAGCCGCCGTCAGTCCACTGCTGGAGACACAACCCGGCCGCGTCTGTTTCCCACCCGTCTGTTTGTGCGGAGAAGCAGCGGAGTAATCCCTCTTTTCCTCCGGATGTGGTCCCTTTACCCTCGCACTCACAGGCCGGGATCACCCGCAGATCTGCATGTGTGGCTCATACGCAACCTAATCTCTGCGCTTCCGTGACACCAGCACTTTCTGCCATTTCACAGCGACGTCGTCGGAAGCTGCCGATGTTTCCTCCGCTGCACAATGAGGCACCAGGGGCACGTTCAAGACCTCCTGCGCGTTCCCGGCAGCCGCGCCGGGGAAGCGGAAGCGACGGTTTCGCAACGTTTCTGAAAGGACAACTGCCGATTAGCGACAAAATACATGTTTATATCATCTGTATTCTACATTATCTGTTTACTTTGCTACTGTCACTTTGTATTTGTTCAGGTGAAGCTTTATTGATAAGCCATGGCGTCGTTTATGTGTTTATTTCTTCGTTTAAGTTTGTGTAAATGGGATTTATGTTTTTTTCTAATCTGTAAATCAATAAAGTTTGAATTGAATACCATTTGCAACATGGCAGAGCCCTGTGCACAACAACATTTGGTCAAATATGAAAACATTGTGTCTTCCTCTAAAGCCAAACCACATTTAATCCTTTAATATCCAACACATAATTACATGGATACCTTGAATTCTACTATTTCAGACGAGATAAATATAATCATATCTATCTCTCACATATCAAATTATTAATAAGACCTGTTTTATCCATTATATTCTCTATGTATATATAGTCTAGAGAGGTGCTGTGAAATCAAATGTATGATGATTATTGTTGTTGTTGTTATTAATGAGTTAACTCAAACATATTGAAATAAGAGATTTTTCATCCTGGTAGAAAGTGAACATAATTATATAAGTGCTATTGTTCAATACTTTATTGGTATTTCCTTTATATCATTACCCCTGTGTTTAAATTATAGGTGACAAATTCCCCCTTGCTGGTGGCATGGACTGCACATATACTGTATACACGTATGCGTAGCGCTTTATTTCAAAGTGATTTAAAGTAAGTCACAGGCACCCATTCACACAAACAGAATGCAGCCATACATATAACAAGCCCATTTACACACTGACCGTAGTTTCGGGTTCAGTATCTTGCACAAGGAGGATTGAACTACCTACCGTCTGGCTAGTGGCTGGCTCTACCTCATTAGCCACCACAGCTTAAACAGGCTATTCCATTACATGTCACTTTGCATGTTAGTATGTTAGAGTTCATGTATTGCTCGTTTATAACACTCATAAGGACGAGTTACAGTATTCCAGCCTGTATGACCTGATACATACCTCATACACTACTTACATAAGTGTTACATCAAGACATTTTTTCCCCAAACTGGTACATTAAACATTGATATTTGAGATTTAATATAATTACTTCTTATGTCTATCAAATTTGCATGGTGGTTATCCTAAGTAAGGTTTTACATGCTTTTTCATCACTAAAAATGGCATAATGGTTTAAAAGTATGTTGCATGTTTTGTTAAATTTAGAAAATCATATGTATTAGTCACTCGGTGTGTAAATCTGCATAAGGCACTGAAAGAAAGTGGGACACTGTGTCACTTGCGGTTGAAACATCAGATTAACACAGTGTGTACAATGGCTTGGTCCTTTGCTGCCCCATCTGCCATTAGCTTGCCCTGCAAATCCAATTATGTTCTTATGCGCCCTATTCTAAAAATAGTCTAAAATGACGGAATACGCAGAAACAGCACGTCATTAGTTGATAGTACAGAGGAAATTATGCTATGGAGCTGATGTGTCCTGTCTGCCGAGTAGATTGATCTGTCATGTTTTACAAGCTGCCATGACTGACAGAAGCCCTCGGAGCAAGGAGAGGTGGTTAGAATGGCAGCAAGCGATGCATAAGAGGAAGGATTAAAGTGGCGGATGTCTGAAGGAATTTAAGAAGAATCTCTCTTCAGATGCCAGATGAAATAAGGTAGGTCGCATAATGTGTCAAAACCAAGTTATAATGTTCTTTAGCCTTGAACATGACTCACCAGACCACCTGTGGGCCTAGAAATGTCTGTTTGCAGACTGCGGGCTGACTCCTTTGATTTAACCAACACATATCACAAACGGTCACCGTGCTTTTCCCTCGCTGGTCTTCATTTGCGCTGCTGTAACAATAACATTTTGCTCAGGAATCAACACTGAAGTGGCTCGATTGCAGGAGAGGGTGACACAGATAAAAGCTTCAAACTCACACAGCCGGGTGTTGATGAAACAGAGCCTCGGCTAGATTTCCCTGGATACATTTAGAAGGATGGTCAATTTTAAGAGTTGATTTGTTTCAATGCAACTGAGTCGACGTGTGTTTCACAACAAAAATCATTGTCAGAATCTTCAAGGAAGGTGGCAGTGGAAGTATCCATGTAAAGACAAAATCTTGTGTAGTTATTCTAGTCATTGTTTCATTTGGTTGTTATTTTTTATTTGACAATATTGCCAATTGTTACATTCCCATGCCCATTCCTGTGATCATATGTGATCATAAACACACTGAGGTAATACAAACTATTCCAGCTACCGTGCAGACGCCTCACCCGAGGTTATCATGGTTCAATTGAATCAGGGTGCACATAACGTGATTAACAGAGCATGGTCGTTTGGCAAACTTTCAAATTGCTGTGGTCTGGTTTCTGTCAGCGACGAAATTCTGCTCACATGTCAGAATCAATGCAATGTCTGAATGTCTAAATAGCAGAAAAAACAACAGCAGTCCCATCAAGTGATATTACAATAGATTCAACTGAATTAGAACAATAACCACATCCATCTGCTACCCATTGTTTTCCATTCCTTTTCTTATTAGAAGGAATAAAATGATTTTAGTAAGATACTTCCTGGATGCTGACAAACCATAAAGTAATCCTACAAAGTTTGTATTTTATCCGCACGCATGTAAATGTAGCCAAACATACTACATTGTCTTGCATAGTGATTAGAATTCTTTACAACCATTGATGCTGACGTTGGAAGGTTTTATTAGATTTGGAGGTCAACATTGGCTATGTAGCAATAGCATAAACTCATATGAGACTCCTACTTACTTAAAATCTAACATTGACAAGGCTGTCCTCCATAAAGTCAAATCTACGTCCCGTCTGCATTCCTTTCTCTTCTTGCTGACCGGAAGCCTATTACACTGTGTAGTTACACATGATGTAATGACGTGTTGCCATCGGTGTACTGGATATTTTCAATTACTGTAATCTTCTCAAGGTATGAGACCTTTAACGTAAGCACAAGTACTTTAAAACTGCTCAAAGTCTGACTCAACTGAGCAAAGGTGGAGAGCAGGTTGATACAGTTTACACAATCGAAAAGACAATTTTACAAACAAGACACATGCTGTGCAAATATTATGTGTTTGAAAGCTAAAACTGCAGCTTCTTCAAGTCTTTAAGTCTGTAATCAGGCAAAACAAAAAGAAGCTCCACTGAAGCAGTCATGTTTTTGCATTCTGAATGTTTCTTAGTGAAGCTAGACGTTGGCAATAGATGCAAATTTATTGCGATACCAGAAAATATGAAGGCAGTTGGCAGAAGTGTGGGATTTGTTTCTAATTAGATCTAATGCCACTAAACCCCTGAGCTTGTCTGTCTGAAACGCCAACCTCTGACCTCTAAAGGTTCCACAGGACACCCTTGCTATCAACTCTCACCTCTACATAAATACACCATATAGTTATACACACACAACTTGTGTTGCAACTTTATAGCAAATATTCTTCTTTGTACAATATCTTTGGATACTGCAACAAAATTAGTGCACAATATTTAGCAAATTCTTATAGGTACGATCAAACTTTAGCTCTCTGTAAATGTTGTAATCAGTAAAAATGTATGATAATGAGGTTAGGTTAGGTTTAGGTGAGTAATAACATAGTTAAGGTTAGAGTACATGTCCAGGAAATCAGTGTATGTGTGTGTCCTTGTCAGGATGGGTACATTTGTGACCCTGGCAGAAGTGTTGGAGGCCCGGGGGTCACCACTGGACGAGGACGAGGTCTGGTGTCTGCTGCTCGCCACCACTGAGGCCCTTCTGGACATCTCCAAAAAAAGTAACCAGAGCTACGAGTTACATTTCCTTCCAGATTCACACATTACCTAGCTACAGGGCTCGGTTCAAAGGTAGCATGCATTCAAATAAAATGAAGTGCAGCATACCATCAAGCTTTTTCTGAACTCAAAGTCTCATACTTGCTTGCACTGAGCTCATTTTTCTATCCAAGACTTTTTATAAAACAAACACAGAATGTGGATCCAGTGATGGCTATCACATTCTGTTCAATGTCACCAGTTTCCCCACATACCAGAACAGTTTTTGCCCAGATATGGCCCACATCCCACATCCAGCCCACATACTGCATGTACTGATGGCACATGGGCAGTCTGCTCCTGTTTGTCAGATCTCGGGGCGACAAGTAAGCTATAGCAATACCATATATCACCTAAAGGTGCCAAAGGTGGTCCAAACTCACAGATTGATATCCAGATTACACCTAATGCCAAAAAAGGCTTGTTTTGGGATAATGGGGACACATAAAGGCTTGCATCCATCTTGCTCAGGCAACTAGAAGGCCTGAAGTACTGCATCATTTCTTGAAGTGGCCCACATCTGCTAAGTCTGTTCTGCTCGGTGCTCAGGTTCTGGCAACATGTGCAGCGTGCTAAGCCCAGGCTCGGTGCTACTGTCAGCCACTGGGAGTCTGGCCTTCAAGAGCTGTGCAAGATATGAAGATATTGCCTCCTTCACGGCTCCTGAGGTCCAGCAGGCTCATGTTGCCTCCACCAGGACTCCAGCTGAAAAGGTTGGGAAAATACTAGCAATGTTGTTTTGAGGACATCTGATACAAAATGTATGAAGAACTATAAATGACCCCAGTAAACTAAACATGAGGGTTAGGGCTGACAAGAGCTGTCATTGCCTATGTGTTCTGAAAATTCCAGAGATTGTTTGTGACCATAACCCTGTTATCAAAAATATTTAAAAATTGTTAGTAATCAGTTGATAGCATAAGTGTTGCACACACCAAGACTCCAAAGTCCCAAAAAAGGACTTGAGACTGTTTTATACGCGCAGGAATAAGTTTCTGCCTGTTCTGCTTTCCATCAGATGGTTGTTTACTCACTGGGGATGACTCTTTACTGGTGCGTTGATTATCATCTACCTCATAACCAGGTACGTTCCTCCCTCATACTTTCTCTTGCTTAAACATATTCTTGCATGTTTTTGTGCATCATCTCTTTTCCTGTCATCTGTTTCCTCTCAGCCAGTCCAGCTGAGTGCAGGGCTGGAGGGTTTACTGCTTAGTATGTGTGAAGAAATGGTGGTGAGGCGGACTGACCTGCTGACAGTGCTGGAGACGTGTGAGCTTCACCACAAGGCCGCCATGCTGCCTCCCGCAGAGCGCCTCATAAGACATCTGGTTGAAGATGTCTACAGGAACTCAGTGAGTGTGCAGCTAGTGGGGGGGGTGGATGATTTGTGTGGTTTAAGCTCTTGTTAAGTTATGAAAAGTTTTCATTTAGTTTACTTCATTTTTCTTTTGAATTTACTGAAACCACCCACTTTCTGCTTGCTCCTTGAGCTGGACAATGATATCTTTGCAGGTTGATCATGTGTCCATGGCTGAAAATGGATCCCAGCTAACAGACCGCAGTCAAATGGTCAGGGACAGATTACACAGTAAGTACGGTATCCCTTTTGTCAATATGAGGCAATGCTTTCACATATTGGTTATACTCACTTTGTTGCTGCGAGTTAGGATGAGTAGATAAATGCTACCTTCTTGTCTGTGCACTAAATATCAGCTAAGAGCAAAACATACACTTAAGTTTTAGGTTTGTGTTCATACAAACTGTTAAATTGTGAGATTAAGAGGCACGTCCTCCGAACCAAAATGAGACAAAATGAGACATCCTGACAAAATAGCAACAGAGCTAAGGACGTTAATATTTGTAGGAATCTTTAAAATGGGACTAAACAAATGTATTAGTTAGCCAACCAACTTCTGTTTGTAGCTTCATATTCAGCACACAGACAAATGTCATAAATCTTCTCATCTATCTAAGTGTAAAATTGGCAAGTGAGCATTAGTATTATGTACCATTTTGTGTTCCAGGGGGCTCCTTCAGTTACTCAACTTGGGCGATGAAGAAGAAGATTTCTAGAACATTCTCGGGAGCATCTTATCCATCCGAGCATGCAGGGTATGAAGTGGACATGATCCGTGCATTCACATGCTCCTCATAAAGTCATATTTCCACAGTTGTGAAGTGTTGTGATGTGTTGTGTTTGTGCTTTGGGCATTTAAACAACACATTGACAACTCTTTTATAACATTTGCATAATAATGAAGTGCTAAGAAAAAGAAACAGGTGTGACAGGAATGTAAATAATTATATGTGCACATTAATCATAAATACACCTGCAATGGATTCATTGTGGTGTTAGGCACTTGATATAGATGGGCATGCAAGTTGCAAGTGACAAAATGTAAGAAGTTCACATTAAAAGCTATGATTTAGAGCTGATTGTAAAATGATGTTAAGTGCTTTATAAGTGATGATATCAGCAATGTCTGTAAACATTTTTGCAGACAGATGTTTTTTAGTATTATTCTAAAAACAAGTGAAAGCACTATGCAGACAAACCTAATAATAGACATTCTTAGCACATGCTACATAAGCCCATTTTTATAATCAAATTAATACAAATAAAACAATGTAAAATAATGATAATGATGATTATTTCAGTGTAAGATTTACTTGTGGTGATATAAAGTTTATACATTCTGGTTTTAAGCCGTCATTTCATGATCCTGACGGATCTTGACTATTATCAGACTGAGAATGGAAATCTCAATGTTTACCAGGATCACCTCTGGAGGTCGACACAGAGAGAGTTATGGCAGCTGGCAGCAGCTGAACCGCAGCCCCTGTAGTCCGTACATGGACGGTCATCGGAACACCAACTTAAGATCCCTCACACAGTTTGACTCCACAATGAGCCTGAATGACAAGAAAGCCAAGGTGAGCCGAATAACTGCAGTATATTATTACGTGGTAATGTGGTGTGTACATTCATATTCTGTATTGATGACATTTCAAATCAGGCCCATGTTATTCTGCTGGCCAATTCTTCTTTGACATTCATGGAAAATGAATGCATCCCATTGTGTTCCAGCTTTTAGAACAACAAAGACACACCAAGTATCATCTGTGTTACTGACACTTGTTTCTTTCCATTTCCTTTTCTGTTGCAGGACCTTGGTCCTGAGTTTGTGAAAATCTTAGATGAGCCACTTGTCACCTTGGAGCTGCCTGGATCCATTTTGGTGAGTTGTAGAAAAAATGGACTAAATTCTGTCTTCTTTTAAAAGTGTGTGGACTAAATCCAATGAGACCATCAGCTGGAAGCTGGTCTGTCCAGTAAAATCTAGAGATAATGTGACTCACTCCCTTTCTTTGTGAACTGCAATTTCAATGAATTCATTTTAGATTATAGAGAATGATCCATCAAATTTGTCCCATTAAACTCAACCAAATGGCATTTTCATTCATTCATGTACGGTAAACTGACTGTTTAAGTCGGGGACGGTCAGTGTTTGGGATTAATCGGTTGCACAACATGCTTGTAATGATGCCAGTCCTGAACGACTAGAATGCATAACCTGATTGACTACAGACTAAAATTGTAACAAATCCAAATGTGGTACTTACTCATCTATAAAGCATCCGATTTTTCCATTTTATGCATCACTTCATAAAACCATATGACTAACTTTTCCAGTGGTCCCTCCCATTGCATTCTTCCCATTAGAATAATGCACCACAAATTCCCTCAAATGTGTGTTCCCTTTTTCTCAGTCAAAGAAAGGGAAATCTTCAACCACCCAGAGAGAGCTGAGTGTGGTGATGCCCAATGGTCAGAGCATCCTGGTCAAGTGTGAGGTGAAATCCCGAGGAGGAGACGTCTTTGACATGATTGTGGCTCACTCCAACCTGATGGAACATTTCTACTTTGGCCTCGCCTACATTGATGGTGAAGCAGCACAAGAATATATAACACACAAATGAATAACTGCCTCGGTAGTGGAGTGAATACTGTGTTTTTCTACATGTTTCACTTCTCTTTTCAGATAGTGAGTTTTTCTTTGTGGACAACGATACCAAGATTTCCAAAGTTGCTCCAGATAGCTGGAAGAAAGTGCCTACAACCACCTTTGTTCTTTACTTCAGGGTCAAATTCTTTGTCAGTGACATTTCTCTTCTTTTGTAAGTATCTTTCTTTCTTCAAGCAAAAATACCTGGTCATGTTGAATTGTTCAGATATGTTTGGTCTACTCCATCAGACACAAACAGACCCGCCACCAGTATTACCTCCAGCTCAGGAGAGACCTTTTGGACGACAGGCTGTCCTGCCAAGAGGAGACTGCTCTGTACCTGGGAGCTCTGGCCCTGCAGACAGAATATGGAGACTGCATGCCTGAGGTTAGTCTGGGCAGTGGTCTCCTCAGACGCTGTTAAATGGGCCTTCCAGGATTGGTGTACTGCACTTCCATTATAGTTGAGTGATTCACAATATGGATGATAAAGCAGCAGTTAAGTTTCGGCCTGAAAAACTATAGACTGTATATAACGACAGATAAAGTGAAGCTATTTGGTCATGAACCCTTCCTCTATGTTAGCAGTGGGACATGGACCAAACTAAAAAGTCAAAGAATACATTAAATACATTTTTCTTGGAGATGATTTCTACCATTTTTGGTTGTCGGTTGAAAACCAGACCATAATGCTTCCATCCCTCCCAATGTGAATTTTCCTTCTCTTTAACTATGATTTGATGATTATTTTATAAGATTTATCATTAAAATGGAACTTTATAATTGTAACAATGCATTCTGCATGAACTAATGGAATGCAATGGATTGTGAAAATACCAGGTTTTGATTTGCTGTTTTAGGTGTATGGTAGGAATTACTACCGCCCGGACCAATACATCCCCAAGAGTGTGATGGAGAAACGTGCCTTGCCTTACATTAAGGACGAGCTGCTACGACTTCACACCAACAACGCTCAGATGCTCACTGACGAATCAGAGCTCGACTTCCTCAAAGTAGGGGAATTAAAATTAAAGATCCATATCTATTGATTGTGAAAGTCCAGCACCATTTCTTTAATCTGAAATATGATTGCCACTTTCTATTTGTCCCATTAGGTGTGTCAGCAGTTGCCTGAATACGGTGTGTTGTTCCACCGTGTGACGCGTGAAAAAAAGCCTTTAGAAGGAGAGATTATCCTCGGGGTTTGTGCCAAAGGAGTCATCGTCTATGAGGTCAAAGATGGCTGCAGGTCCACTAGTCAGAATTTCTTCTGGAGGGAGACCGCAACCATCTCCTCTAATGTGAGTGGACTGATATTTTATCATTTAAAGGTATAACGTGTAAAACTTCATCAAAATGTCTTAAACTGGTCTTAAACCGATAAGAAATTTCCAATTTTTTTAAAGGGAGTGGGATGTTTCTTTAGGGTCTCCTTTTAAATGCCTCATCAGCCATACCCGTTGCTTGGATTGTCTCTGCTGTAACTTTCGTGGCAAAGGACATTATGACGAAAGCAAAACACACTGTTAGCCAGTTAGTCGGCTGTTTTTCCTTTCCTGTTTGTATTGGTCACTCGTAAAGGATCACAGTTATTCAGCCATTTGCTGTGTAACATGAATAAAACTTTCATACATGACCTCATCTGTGAACATGATTTGTGCCCGAGATGCGTCCCATCGGCACTGGTGGTGAAGACAGCAACTCCCATGATCCCATGCTACTTCATGAAGTCATCAAACTAGGTTTTTTGTTATTGTTGATTGAGAGACCCCTAGTGTCGGAAATTACACATTGTGCATTTCATCAAATTTCCTGTATGAAATTCAAAAACCTTCTAACCATTTTCTGAAAACCTTTTCTTGCCTGTCCCTGCAGAGGCATAAATTTGTAATAGAGAGCCGTGGCAGCAAGAAGAAGTACATCTTCATCACGGAAAGGTCAAAGATAGCCAAGTATCTGTGTAACCTGTGCTCCGCCCAGCATAAGTTCAACAATGAAATGAACTCTCGCCAGCTCACCCACAGCCTGAACTCAGGTCAGCTGCTCAACACAACATTGAGAGAAAATGCATGAAAAATAAACCAACAAAACAACAATTTCCAGTAACTCAAGACTCAAGATATTTCTCTGCTTTTGTCTCCAGAGGCGAACATTGTGCAGTATGCAGCAGTTTGTCGTGCTCAGAGCAGCCGGCTCAAGTCCTACTCATGTTCAGAGACGCCACAGGATGAAAGTGGACTGACCACGCCTCAGGAGGAGTCTCTAACCAAGCTGTGTGATGACGTCACTGCAAGGATCGAGGCCCGGGTTAAACAGCAGCAACAGAGCCTCAACGAGCAAAGGTTGATTGTTATTGTGCTGTTTTTTTTCCACATTAATTAGGTTTGCTCCAGACTTTCTGAAAGCGTTTAAAAATCACTGACAATGTTTTTCTTAGTTTTCCTCTTTCTGTGTTTCTTCTGCAGCACCTGCTCCAGCAGTCAGCGCAGCAGCACTGGCATGCGTTCCCCAGCATTCTCTCTGAGGAGTGGATCTGAGGCCCCCTCTGGTTCTCCAGCATTAAGAGGTACAGCATCACCAAGCACACCGCTCATATTCTTTAACTGACAACCCACGCATGACACATGGTGCATCACAAGTACTCCAGCTAACAAGCTTTGCATTACATTACATTACATTTGCATTTATAGTTTTAAAAACATAACATTTTGAGAATACTAAGAATTCAAGTGTCACCAGAGTCCAGAGGATATAAAAATATATATTCCATATTTAAGTTAGCAAAGACAGAAGTCTGCTTCTAATAGTTGTCATTTAATGCACATTTATGTTTTTGGGGGGTAGGGCTTTGACAAGTGGGTTGATGGGAGGTGGTGCGATGTATCAGGTGCCTGCTCTTACTTGTTTTCTCAGGCTTACCAACCCTAAGTTAAATAAAAATGTAGCTGTTCAGGGCTGGACTGGATTTTATTTCGGGTAATGTATTGTGTCTTATTATGTAAGGTCAGATTAGATTCATTTCTATTAATGCCTGCATTATTGGACAATACAGATTTTAATATTAATTTCGGACTTGAAAGGATTAAATATCAGAAGGTTATGAATTATGCTTCGCCCCATCCAAAAGTCTCTAAAACAAATTGGCTTCACTGTTTTGGGGATTGTCATTGTAACATATATACTGTGTAAGTTAATGTTTGTGTTTTTTCACAACATGTCTCACAGAAACGTCGCCTAAGCTGGGATCATCATCAGATAGAGAAGTCATTTGTGTTTCCTTAAAGAAAGACCCAAAGCTTGGCCTCGGTAAGCCAACCGCACTTCACGATGGTCACTGAAGAAATGCTCTCTCTTGTCTTTTTCACACACCTGTGGTTTGTGTCTGTCCAGGTATAGTGATAGTGGGGGAGGACACTGTGGGGTGTTACGACTTGGGCATCTTTGTTGCCTCCATTGTTCCTGGTGGACCAGTTGACAAGGATGGACGCATCAGACCAGGTAAATAATCACGTGGATCCTTTTCGCTTTCTGCTTTCTCTGAAGTTCTGCTTTCAACTTTTGACTTAATTTCCCCCTATATTAAAATAAAGCCAGCGGATTGTTTTATGGGGATGTTTGTCTTGAATTTATCCAGCATCTCCTTCTGCTTTAAGAAAATGGGCTCAGATAATGTGCAGCAGGGAAGTGCAAATAGGGTAGAGAGGCTGGGAGGTGTTTGTGGGACCTTTGGGGGGGTCACACAGAGTTTCAGAAGTGGTGGTGGGGGGGGTCTTTCACTTCTTTACTGTTACAGGACACCGTTTCACTGTGACCTTTGCCCTCAGGTGGTCGTCTGATCTCTCTGAACCACATCAGCCTGGAGGGTGTCACCTTCAGTGAGGCAGCAGATGTCATGCAGAGCAGCCCAGAGGAGGTGCAGCTCATTATCTCACAGCCCAAAGGTGCTCGCTCTATGAGTGTGTGTGTGTGTGTGTGTGTAATGGTAGTATGGCTGTGACCCTTTACCCTTCTTTGTTTATGTGCATAATAAACTGACAGACTAATTAGCCTATTGAGGTACCTGCTCCGTGTGAACAGAATGTAAATATTAGATCTTTGTTAACTCTATTTTTTAGTGATGAACATTATCTTTGTTGATCAATGTCTGTTACAGATTTTTCAAAATGTCTTATTGTTCCTTCAACAAAACCAAAAGAAAAGTTGTCTTCTTCTCAGAGTGCATGGACATTTTTTTAATTTGTGAAGGTATGACAGTAAGCGATTTAAGCTACTTTGTTATTTTTTGTCTCCAGCTTCCCTCAGTAACAACAGCGTGCGCTCTCCTGTGCTGAGGAATTACGAATCCCAGCCCACACTGATGACAGGCGGCCGATCAGAGGACAGCGGCCTGGATATCGTTTCGGTCATGATGACACCAAAGACCGGCAACAGGCTGCACGTCCCCTGTGAAGGACGAGTCCTTGGTGCACAGGTAGAATCATTGTGATGGTTCAGATGGTTTTATACAACTAAAAATCAAAAGCCTTTCATAATGCAATAATAAAAACAGTACACACATCTTACTCTACCTCAGATAAATCCTATCATCATTCAATCAAGATGGCTTGTCAAATACTCATTGAGCAATAACCTAAAACAACCCATACAAATGCATTGCACCATGATGATTTTGAACCGCAGGGCATTGAAGTCACTGTGGTTTCTGTGTGTGTTGTTTTCAGGACTGCTGCTCTCTGTCTCCCTCTCTGAACTCTGTGAGGCCAGAGGAGATTACTGTGGATCTCAGGAAGATAGCAGGAAGTCTGGGCATCAGCATCTCGGTGAGATAATAAAACATTTTTAACTCCAGTGACACTGCAGTAGATGAAATGGTGGCAGATAAAACCGGGGCAGATCTAGGGGTGGGGCCAAGGGGGCACTGGCCCCAGCTGAAATCTGATTGCCCCCTGAAGCTTATTTTCTAAGGTTTTTTGAAGAACACCATGTGCACGAAGAAGGAACAATTTTCAAAAAATATTGCTTTGCTCAAAGCTATAGAGCTAACAAGAAACAGAGAAGCCAATCTGAAACAAACCACAGTTCAGTCATTGTGTAACACAACAAGGGGGAATTGTTAAGGTTGTCAAAGGTAGAGAGACAGTTTGCCTATAATAAAATTCAAATTTTAATCAAATCTTCTCAACCGTCCTCTGATATCACTATTTAAAGGTATAAGGGCAGGAAATCTGACGGTTGTAAGGTGACAGTTCTAACCACTGGTCCACCGTGCCACCTAGTTTTGCTGTTAGCCTGTAAGAGCTTGTATTCATATGATCAATATGTTTACACTGGAGGGATTTGATTAAAATCATTAGGAATGAACAGTCAGGAAGGTAAAAGTATTAGTACAGCAACTCATCTTCAGCAGTAGGTCAGAGAGTCTGCTCCTCTTAATCTGATTAACATCTGTGGTCTGACAAGATTAGACAGAGAGAGGGAGAGGGAGAGAGAGAGATCACCACACTGATCACCACTACACTATAGCTGCACAACCATTGGTGGTATGAGTATTCTGATACTCACTAAGCAAAAATTTCAACACCACAGTGTAAAAATTCTCCACAAGTAAAATTATTCCTTTAGGTAGAAGAACAAACCAGTAAAATTGAACATGCATTATCAAACCATGTGCCTGTTTATTGCCCTTGATTATTCTGTTTTACAGTGGAGAACTGGTTTAAGATTCATTAAACTATGAGGTACAACATATAATGAGCAGTGACCCTTATTTGAAAATGGCTTCAAAAGTTTTAAAGTTGCAGCAGACTGACGAGGAAATTATTTTAACAACTTTATCTTTGGGTAGTTTAGTCATCAACAATCTCTCCTCTAGTGTGGGTGCCCTATCCATATGTCTGTGAAGACGCCCGCAACCCAAGAGTTATTTTTGATTCTACGGCATCTTTTGGTCCTTGGCCTAACTGAGACAGCCAACCGAAATTAGAAACCTTTTTTTTTTTATGGACTTAAAAATGGTTATCCATGATTTCATTATGTCCAGAGTCGGATTACTGTAATGCAATTAACTGTGTATAGTTTTTATTAGGTGCCCTGTCTTTTGCTATTCAGGCCTCTCAGCTGTGAAACTCTGGAGATAGAAATCTATCACGTCACCTCTTAAGACTCACTTTATTGTAAAATCTTTTACTCGAGTAATGCCACCAATGAGTGACCATCCCAGGCTTGCTACATTTATCACACTCTGTAATTCCTCTTCACCATTAACACTGAGGGTTTGTTGTGAATAAGAGTTGAACTAAAAGCCTCCTTCACTGACTGTTCAGGGTGGAGTCAACACTAACCTTCCTAATGGAGGAGTCTACATCAAGAGTCTCGTAGCAGGAGGGGCTGTAGAGAGAGATGGACGAGTCCATACAGGTACGACAGCAACAAATCCAACAATGGACTGACTAATGGTAAATGTGGTAAATGCTCAGGTAGTGGACAATAACATCCTGATTAAAACTGTGACACAGAAATACAACACTTCTATACAACAGTACAACACAAGGTTCTAGGCTGAGACAAACTTGGTATAAAACAAGTAAAGAGAAATGCACATTGATAGTTAAACTGTGAGTAATCCTTTTCTCTGTATATTTGTTGGTTACAGGTGACAGACTGTTGGAGGTGGATGGAATTAGCTTCCAGGGCTTCACATATCAGCAGGCTGTGGAGCATCTGAGTAAAACTGGAGAGGTAAGACCACTTCTTTTAAGAGATGGTAATATCTAGGTAGGGTATATTTAAATTTTCTAATAATGAATATATAAATAATAAAGACTACTTAAAAGTGAATAGCCATACAGCTCCCAACCCGACCCCAGGCATATGAATGAATAAATATACTTCTATTTATTGGATGGAGGAGTTTTTGTTATGAATTGTGGCTGTGTGGGCACTGTCCGCTGCTGTGGTCACTAATGTTCTTTGGCCAAATTCAACAAAAGAATTTTCTGTCTGTAATATGCCTTTTTTAGTCTCTCCTTGTCTTGGTCCAGCCTCATCATAGCACAGGTAGAGAAAAGAATCTTGGTGCCGGCCATGAGTAACGTTGATATTTGTTTCTTCTCGATAACACCTGTGTCTCCTCTCGAGGTGGTGACCATGGTTGTGGAGAGGGAGCTTGTGAACCTGCCCAGGGTTTCTATCAGTGCAGACACCAGCAGCAGCGCCTCCAATCAGAGCCTCAGTCCAGTCACCAGTCGGCCAAGACTCAAAAGCTGCTCGTCCAACAGCACCCCTACGAGCACGATCAGTGACCAGCCCAGAGACTACAGCTTCGTCACTGATGGTAGGACGCCTCAGCCCCATCAATGGAGTTCTAAAGATATGATATGTAACAATTAACAATACAAATGTCCAAAGTTGTGCAAATAAATGGTACGGAAACCACAACACAGCTACAATGGAATTTTACGGGGCAACTGTGACAGTCCAGGAAATCACTAATATTCACTAATCAATGATCAAATTGTTATTGTCATAGTTATAATCATTACACGTCGTGCTCAACAAGAGGTCTCACTTTAAAGTTTCGTGAGACTTGGGTTGTTGAGTGAGTGAGAGTGACAGAGAGAGTTGGAGAGCGGAGTTTAGATATTACAGAGAGAAACTATTATGGCTAAATCTTTCTCTGATGTGGACAATGTCGATGAAGCGTTTGACTACTTGTTTGTGCTGGAGGAACTAGAAAATGAGCTCCTACAAACTGAAGAGCAAAGGAGGAGAGAGAGAGAAAGACAGAGGCAACAAGCAGAGGTGGAACGATGAGCTGCTGCATGGTGAGTGAGACTTACCAAACAGTTAGCAAACACCTAGAATGACATTTGATTGGTGACAAAAAGCTCTTTAAGTGGACATTTCATGGAGTGTTGCAGTTGCACCATAAGATTACATTGAAGCCACTGCCATTGTGTCACGGCTGCTAGCGGAGGAGATCTTCTGACTAACTTTTTGTACGTACCATTAATTTACACACAATCATAAACATAGGGCCCAGGTTGCAAAATACCAGAATTCCCCTTTAACAAACTTTTTATATCAATGAAATATTAGTTTAACTGACTGGTATTTCTGGTGGTGACTAGCGAGGATAGAAACGTCAAAGTGTTAAGTCCGCTGACACCGCTCTACTCTCAAAGTGAGGCAGAACATTCGTGAGAGAGCCTGGAGACTTTAAGCCGTTTTGTGCTTGAATAGCTGAGCAGGCAGCGAGGCGGGTCGGACTGCTTGAAGGTGAACTTTCACACACTTCCTCCTCTTCATCCTGATCTTCCTTACTGACCCTGACCTTCCTCTTCTTATCCCTCTGGCTTCCCTTATCCTTCACCCTGTCCTTCTATATCTGTCATCCCACATATCACCTCTATCCTGTGGATCAAGCAACAATGTGTCATTAACATCTAATTGTTCAGAATGACCCCACATGAATGTAGGTACTTTCATGTAGGCGTGAGTATTTTCTATTAAATAGTTTGACTGGGTACATTTTTTAATTTAAATTTAGTTTTAATAATTGTATGTTTTTTGTTAAATGTGTCATCACATCCACAGAAGAGCACATGCAAGGGATGACAATGAAATTATTATTTTAAATCGTGACATAACAAGCCTTGAATTGCTATGATGATGAGATTATAATTTTGTTGGGGGAAAAGACACAATTTGATCGTATTCAAAGGAGAGTCGACAAACAGACCCCCTACAAGAATGAAACAAGGTCATGTCACCAGGATTTTGGAGATAAGATAATAACTTCCCACCCAACCTCAACTCATACAAGTCGATGCAAGGGTGGAGATCAAGCATCACCTCCACTCTTGCATCCAGTAGTGTGAGTGCAAACAGCATCGCAGCCAAATACAATGGAAATGAAGTCAGTTTGGCTGCAACACTGTTTACCCTTCAAACTCCAAAAGTTTTTTGTGGACTCAAACACTTCACGCACCCCTCCATCAGAATGGTGGTGAGTAGATGATGAGTGAGTTTAGATTCGTGGGTGAACTATCCCTTTAAGATGGGGAGCGCACACCTTCCATGGAAAGTCTGGCAAGGAGAGCAACAGTGAAAACATCCTGACACAGAACAGATCAGGCATTAATGAGCCATCAGCTGATGTGGGCTGGCGCAGAGATCTGCTGCTGTCAACTGACGTATTGGATTGTGTGAGCTTGACTTTGTGACCTGCCTAAACTAACGCTATACTCAATTATATCAAACACACTAAGGCTGTTTTCAGACATGACCTCTGGAGGACGTCCGTAGAATTGGATCAGGACTTTCTTTCTCCTGCTGTGTTTTAACAAAACGCTCCTCCACTTTCTGCTGACTGGGGGACTGGACAGGGAAACTCTGAGGAAAGACCGCAGGCTCTCCTTTGGGACATTTGTGTTGATACACACAGCCCCAAAGGAGAGTGTGTGGATGATCTCCAGAGTTCAGTGCATGTCTGAAAGCAGCTTATTGTTGTTATTCCTTCATACTAATTATAAACTATAACTATTCTTCTTCTTATCTGTTGATGGAGGGCATGTTACGTTAACAGGTGAAAGATGAAAATGAAGCATTCAATAAGACATATAGAGAAACATGATGGACTGATGATGGAGGACACATATACTGGTTAACTCCAATGTTTCCAGTCTTTATGCTCAGCTAAACTCACTGAATGAGGCAATCCCAGTTGTTTTGATACATCAAATATTAACTCTGCATTCATTTGATAGAATATTTTTACATATTTGGAGTTTAAAGCTGAACAAGACAACACAAAATTAAAACAATCTCAAACAACTTTTTCTTCCCTTTCTTCCACTTCCCCCCCTCCACTCCTTGTCTCAAATTTACTTTTATCTACCGACCTCCCCACATCTCCACCTCCTCATTCTTCCATCACCTCCTACCTCTGAACCCTTTAGACAACACCCAGGAGGTGACGCTGACCAAGAGTGCAAAAGGCCTGGGATTCAGCTTCCTCATGTGCGAGCTGGATCCACCCACACAGGACTTTGGCAGCCTGGTGCGGATAAAGCAACTTTTCCCTGGTCAGCCGGCACAGCAGAGCGGCAGGATCCAGGAGGGAGACGTCCTTTTGGCCATCAATGGCCAATCACTCAAGGAGCTGTCCTATCCAGTATGACCAAAGTCAAATGGAGTCAACTTTTATTTATTTTATTTTATTTTATTTAGTACTTTAATTCTCTATAAACCATTATTTATTTTCCTGTTCGTTGGTGTCTCTAATATGATGGATATGATGCTGTTCTTTCACTATAGCCTGTGATAGATAATTTTCTATAATAATAGTAATATTATATCAGTCATACTTAGCCATATAAACACAGGTTCATGTTTCATATTGGTTTAGTTTCATTGAGGTTAAACATTTTAGATTTTTCTTACCTCCACGAAGGAAGTTATGTTTTCACCAGTTTGTTTGATGGCTGGTTTTGTCTGGTTGTAAGCAAAATTATGCAAAAACTAACAGAGAGTTTTGATGGTGTGTGTTTGAATTCAAGGAGGCTGGTGGGCATTGCTGAGGTTAATGCATCATTCTAGTGCCATTCGTGTCTTTAGGGCTCTGAAGACTGTATTGAGAAAGGTGAAGCTTTGTGAGGGTGTTGGTTAAAATACATACAGACTTCCATGGGACAACACCAGAGGGATCTGCTGTGGGGAAGCATTACTTTGGCCATAAAACTGTCTCTATGTGGTGCTGTGGGATGGCATGGAGTCATGTGGGGTGAGGAACAAAGGTGACGTCCTGCAATTGAAGAATAGGTTTAGAATTAACAGGCTTAACAATAGGTTTACGAAACAAACCCTTTATTGGGATTAAATAATTATCCATTGGCAAGGGAACATGCAGAGTCTGATTTACAGAACATGTGTTGGCAAACAAACCGTTGAGTAACCTTGTTTAACTGAGCAGAGTTCAAACGTGCGCTTGTGCTCAGTTCAAATGTGACTGGAAATTTAGTCCCAAAGGACAGAAAGTGTCTCCTGTGTGATTTGGATGAGGATGAGAATGATGTGCATTTTACTTACTCCTTTTAAATCACAGTCTGTGGGTTAAACTTTCCATAACACCTTTCTGCTAGTCGTTAGTGTGTAGCTCAGGCTGCAGTGTTCTGTCTGAGCAAACCTTACTCAGGCCCGACCCGATCAGTCGGTCATGTTTTCCCCAAGATGGTTCCACAGACTGAACATAAAGATGGACGACATGACAACTCTAGATCGCCCCTAGTGGCCAGCTGCAGTAAAAGTCATAAACCCCACCTCCTCCGTAGATGGATGGATAAAAGACATGTTAGCTGAAAACAAAAGTCAAAGCAGACGTCAGATGAATTTTTCTCAAAGATGGTTAATGTTATTTTAGGTGGTTCTCGTTTTTCATCAATTCATTAATTCAAGAATGAATGCATCAATCTTTTATGCAGATTATTTTCCCTACACTGGCTCAGTATCATATTGTTCCCAAATATGAATGAAGATATATGATCGTACTGTACTGTATTTGTACTTTATATACGATATATGTACAATTTTAGCTGACAGGGTTTGTGTTTAGTCATGTTTGTAATTTTATTAGTGTGAAAATTCCTCCTTTAATACTGTTACTGCAGCTTCACCAATATAACCATTTTTCTTTTTTTGTAGAAAGTGCTGAGGCTGTTCAAGATGTCACCACCTGAGGTTCGACTGACTCTCTATCGGCCAGCCCACGGTACACACGCAGACACACACACACACACACACACACACACACACACACACACACACACACAAATGTAAAGTACTTCATTGACCTGTTGTTTTGTTTTCTGCAGGGATGCTTCCTTCCATCGATCAGTTCACCGGCACATGAGTGACACTACAGTGATGGACTGATGGAAACATGGCTGGTGAGGCTGTTCTGATCAGTGGACAATGGAGCATTAAGCCGATCTCAGCAATCAGCACCAACATTACAGAAAGGTCAGTGCTGTTCGCTAATGTGACATGATGGGATTTGTAGTGACACTTCTTTTCTTTTTTTTACTGTGTCAGATCCTATTTTCACCTTTTCGTCTCAAAGACAGTGAGACATCTGTTTAGTCATGTTCAGTGCACCACAGAGATGTCTTCAGTCAACTCAAACCAAACACTACAGCCAAGCACACATGAGATTCTCCGTTCAGATGCGTTCACAACAACACAGACATTTCTGGAGTGTTCAGATGAGGGGTGGCGCAGCAGACAGGAGGCAGGATGTAACATATAAAATAAATAAGATAAATTCTGCTGCTGCTGCGATCACATGTTTTTGTTAACAGCACAATGAGCACATCGACACCGGCACCAAACTTATCACCAAAACCTCTCTTGACACATTTGTCTGTGTCTTTTCATCTGGAGATATTTGATTTGATTTGATTTTTTTATTATTTTCACATGTTACAAATGTCATCATCCTCCCCATTTGCTCATAATTAATCCAGGGGAGAATCTCCTGCTGTGTTCTCCTTTGAGCTCCTTAGGACATCAGAGTTTCTGTAGACTTTCTCCCCTTGTAAAGTCCGCAGAAACTCCAGATCCTTTCACTCTGACATTTGCATTCACACATTCAGGTGCGCTGAAGAACCCGACATGGAGCAGGAAAGCACAGCGATCGGGGGCTAAAAGTGAAACCCTGTAGATTTGTAATGAGGATATCTGGACAAAAAGGTGAGTGACTTGATTAATAGACAATTTAATGACATTGCTTTGTCTCAGTTTTAGCTCGGATGTGTTACTTATTTCTTTCTTGGATTTGTGTTTTGATTTAATTTAGAGATTAGTGTTAAAATGTCCTGCATAAAATGTTCGCCCAATGTTATCTGCTATATTGACAGATATCTTATATATTAATTTGAATCACAAATTGAACTGAGCCAACGATTTATGTGAACCTAAACCTGACCAGACATCAACAACCCTCAACCACTTCTATCAAGTGTTCATTATCTTCACCACAAGATGGCAGCATTGCACTATTAGCTTGCAATGCTTGCCCTCCCTGTTTTGCAATCAGTAGTCATCAGTTTTTTTTTGCCATCTAACAACATTTCATTCTTTTTCCTCTACAGAAAAACAAATGAAGGATGACAACAAAAGAGAAGACAGAAAACAATTGCAAAAGAAAGGACACAAATAAAGATGTGCAGAACGCCACCAAGAGATTCATGAATTCACTTTGAAAAAGAACTCAGTTGTATCTACAAATGACATAACATCTTACAACAGTCTGACCTGAAAATGGATGATCCACACATCCAAACACTCATTTAGTATCTAGACACACACCCACACACACCCACACACCTCCCTGGGTGAGGAGCCTGTAATGGCCCCTTGTAAATAAGGGTTCCTGTATTTCGGTGAAACCCAGTAGTGCATCTGGATCCCATCAAAGCTTGTGTTCCCTTTGCAAATGATCCCAAATGTTTCTAATTATGCCAGAGGAGTCGGCACGAGGCTGTGTGTGTATGTGCGTGTGTGTGTCTTTGTGTGCATGTGATCGCCCTGACGGACACGCACACCCATTCACTGGCCTCTGTTTATTCATGAACGGGAGTAACAGAGATGGACAGCGTGGTCTTGACCTCTGCAGCCTCAGCTTGGGTCAGTGCATGTGGTGATGACTGATGAGCGAGACACAGAGCGGGGATAGATTTTCTCCACCAGTCGTCTCTGCAGGCATCTCTGTCTCCCAATAGAAGCATACAACCTAACACAGCAAGCAATGAATTGACGTAGTTATCGATGTCTGACCATGATATCAAATCATATTGAATTGTTTGGCTAACTTGCTAAACCTCTATCAAAATGGATTCCATGCTTCTAATGACAAACTTGCAACTACTTCACTTAAACAGCTCATTGTCAAGCAAGAGAAGAAGAATGAAGAATGAAGAATCCAAAAAACAACCACCCCCTGAGTTTGATTCTTCATTCTTCTAAGGCCTGCATCATGTTTTATATATGTTAATATTTAAAGTTGAAGGGAGTGGATAACTGTTTTCAGCGTGGGTTCAGCATACAAAGCATGCAAATGTTTTTTGCACTTGCATTGTGTTGTTACAACCTTGTAGATGCGTGACTAAACTTGCTGGGGAACATTTCATTAAGCGCTAACAGAGCATTATGGGGGACTTTTTCAGAGACGAATATATGCTGGAATCGAGCCATTGTTCATTGTGCCAAGTGTTGTGTGAGACTGTAACGGCATGCAACAAAAAGCACGACTTTAAAAAAGGAAAGAAGGTCATTAGCCATTTCCTGCTTGACTTACGTAGTTTTTTTTGTGTGAAAACGTTGTTGTTCTCCGAGGCACACGTTAATCAGCCAATCAAGGGGAGCCTCAAGTAATTTTTATCACAGTTTTCCTTTTCTGGGACAATTTCTCTTAATTTCCATGAACGTAATAAAAAGTGCAGAGCTCTGGCTACCTGCTCCAGACGCCATGACATTATTCATCTTTATTTACCTGCTGAGCTCATTTCTTAGCATTACAAATTGCCACTTACTAAAGCAGCATTAATCAATTAAATCAAATATTTTTTATGTCTTGCATGACTTGTAATTTGCAAGGTTCACTTGTTTTCCTCATCTCTACAGATGGTTTTAACACCTCTTAGCTCATTGCTTCAGTTTTGCAGCCTGAAACTTTCACCCTCACCAATTTTGTTTAGTTCAAATAACCCAACTGTATTTTATATATTGCACATACTTCCCTGGGTGTAAACAAGCAGAATCTGGCTCCTAAAACCATAAAAGTTGAGTATAATTTCATACTGCATCTCTAGCATGTGGATAAACATCTCTGCTCCTGATGTTCCATGACCCCCAAAGTAGCATGAAAAACAGCAGCAGAACAAATGGGCACAGTGATGCAGTTTGGCAGGCCTCAGAGACCTCTCTCTGCATTACAAGGTATTGTGCACGATTCACATTTTCCACTGCAGCCACTGTGACGCACAGCCCTGTCAAGAGGCAGCTATGGATGCTGGGTGATTGCATGCGTTGGGCTATTTGCCTGCGTCTTTGATGTCACCTCTTGCTCAGCTATTTCCCCAATTAAATTGATTGTGCTAATGTGCAAAGTGGACTGCTGCGATTAAAGGTAAGCCGTGTTGTTTTTGAGAAGGGCCTCAAATCCATCACCATGGCTGCGACACCAAGCATCCACCGACACAAAACTGCAGGCTTTGGAAAAAGCCTTCCAGCTCTGTGTGAAACGTGAAGGGGAACTCATCAAATCTGACTTATTACTGGCAAGTGAAAAAGGATATCCTAATTATAATTATATCCTGACCAAAATGACTCGATATTTAAAAATGAAAACAATGGTAATTGCACATTTTAAGGGGGCAGTACAGCCAGATAATTCCGGGTTTCTGAGGGAGCAGAGGCAAAGGCAGAGGAGATTGAAAAGGTAATTGTGGGGCGTCAATGAAAAGTGAGCAGTCAACTGAGAATAAAAGTTCAGTATGTCGAATAGATGAATAGAGGTCGAAAGAGTGTGTGCACTCACATGTGCGCACACACACACACACACAAACACACACCTACACACAATGTAAGGTGAAGTGTGAGAATCAAAAAGAAATAGGAGGGTTGTACAGCTAGCTCGGAATATGTCAACATTGTTCGGCGTGGGAGGTCGCCCCCAGGGGGACGCCGCCTAACTCACGGGGGAGAAATTCAACAACTCTTTCAGCGGAAATCCTCATCATACTTCTCTGCAGCTTTACGAAAGCAAAACAAGGACCATGGAGTCCTGAGTCGGGGCCAGAGCTGTGGTCGTCTCAGTAGATGAGGTGGAAAGAATGGTGAGAGATTTACTCATTTTGATGACAGGAATCTGATACTTAACGTGTCAGAAAGGAGAAACAGATACAATTATGAAACGGTTAGATTGGCATATGTTTGCTCCCCCATAGTGCAAAGTCATCATAATACTGACTGACTGCCAGAGGCTGAACAGTTTTCTGATTGATGCCAAAGGTTTAGTGATTACTTCATTAGATGAGATTTACAGCTTTCCTACTCTCAGTGAAATAAACACCCAGTTCCGCCCAGAGGAACTTATTAGTTTCAACTTATTTTGCCTTATAAGACATATTGACAGGTTCCAACTATCCGGGTTAAGGTGGGTGGCTGCAATGTGTCTCATGCATATGCTGTTTCTCAGCAACACCCCTCTTCACCCGTGGTTACACCCATTTACATCTGGGAGTCACACACTGCATCAATAGTCTTCTCCTGCTTGCAGCTCAAAGCTGAAACCTTAATCGAGGGCATGTTGTGGTTGCAAGATGTTCAATGTGGAGAATTTCCTGAAAAAGCTTTGGCAACAGACTCTATCAATAATAATAAAAAATCATGTCATTGTGTCATTGGCACATTTATCGGTAAATATTGTAATACTGTTTAAATTCTACCATCGAAATAAAGGAGAGTCAGTCCTAAAAAGCAAATTAGAAAATGTTTAAAATGTTTAAAATGGATGGGGAGATTAGTACAGAATTGTTACTTTACATGAAAGTACAATAAGTTTTTGCCAGGTGCAGCTTTTGTTGTGTTTCAGGAGTTTTCTGTGGAAGAGAGAAACTCCCTTTACCAGCAACTTTGGTATTTTTCTAACTTTACGGAACTTTTACATACAAATAAAAAACCCTATACCAGACTACAGGACAGAAAAACAGAAAAAGCTAATATCTCCTTTAAACCATCACAAAGCAGCTACTAAGAAATTAGGAGGGACTTAACTAAAAAAGCATTTATGTATATATGAATGGCTAAAGCTCAACCCTACCCTGATCTGTACTGGAAACTGGAAGAGTG